GGAAACTTTTGGGTATGTTACACTATACTGTTAAACTTTGTAACTACAAACAGCAGTAATAGTGTAAGTGAAGCAAATAAATAAATAACTTTATTCCACACTTCCAAAAACTAGCAGAGACCACCAAAAAGTCACTGCAGTCCCTTGCTCACTTTGAAGACTTCTTTCCAAAAAAATAGCCACATTTACACAAGTTAATCCAAACTTCATCCTTTTTCCTTCTTCTCCAAAATAATGGGCACACAAGATGCTTTGGGGTGCAAAGAAACCATTAGAAGATCCATTTAATTTATATACTAAAAAAATCAATCTTTACTAATAGTATATATACTATTAATAAAGATAATAGGATGGTTTAGAAGGAAATGTACATATTTTGGGCTTTATTATCAAAATTTTAGAACTATTTTCATCCATGATTTTAAAAGTTTGGAGACTCCTAGGCTGGGAACTGCAATTAATGCTCCAAATATTGGTATGAGAAAAAACTCTCAGAGATTTCCTGTGGTAGGCAGATTAATGCCATCAACTCCCTCTCTACATCAAAGATGTTCAAGTCCCATTATCCAGAACCACTAAATATATGTTACTTGACATAAAGAGATCTTGAAGATGTGTTTTAAGATATGGACCTTGAGTTGTGGAGATTATCCTGGATTATCTGGGTGGGCTCAATCTAATCACATGATTCCTCAAAGGTATAAAACATTTTCCAGCTGCAGTCAGAGAAAGAGAAATGTGATGGTAGAAAAGAGTCAGATAGATACCATGGGAGAAGGATTCAACTCACCACTGCTAGTTTTGAAGAAACTGCTAGTTTTGAAAAAACTGGTACTTTTTGAGGAAGAGGCCGCAAGTCAAGGAAAGCAGGTGGTCTCTTGAAGCTCGAAAAGGCAAGAGAAAGGATACTCCTCTAGAGCCTCCAGAAGGAATGTAGCTTTGTCAGTAAGTGATGTTAGCCCAATGAGACCTTTGAACTACTGAAATGTGAGCTAATAAATTTGTATTATTTCAAGCCACTAAATCTGTGGTAATTTGCTATGGCAGTAACAGGAAATTTATATACTCCATCCACCCTAACTAATTTTGACTGCTGGAGTATTAGGGCAGATCAAAGTACTACATCAAATGGATTCAAGCTGCAATCATTTAAACATTTTGGTCAGCATATCCTGAATTTGCATCAGTAGGGAAACACATCACAGAGAAGTATGACATGAGAAGTTGATGAAATATTATTTGCAAAAATGGAAATAGAAGAGGAAAAAATTCTTTGGTCAAGAAGAGGTAAGAGTTTTTCAGATATGACCTTTCTCCATTATCTGAACACTATCTGCAGTGGCATCAAATATCACAAAAGAGTAAAACTGCTGACCTTGGAATAAGTTGCATTTCCCTCCAAATCTAAGGCAGTTAGAGAATTTTAAGAGTCATTCTTCAATATTTGAACTTCAAAAGGTAAAATTTCCAGGAATGACAGTATCGTGCTGGAAACATTAATGTGCCAGCATGAAATAATATCATTCTGTAGGAGGTAATAAAGATATGAGTTATGTCAAATTATATTTGGCTCATGGATGTTACTGTGCTTCTTATGGGCAGATACAGCTAACAGGCACAAGAACACCTGCCTATCTCCCTCAGAAAATTAAAGTCATGTGCACAAACATCAGTCTACGAAATTAGGGGACCATTTGCGGCAAAATGAAAATGTGCCCTGTTACAAATACACTTCCTAAGGATATGGAGTATCTCTTGTTACAGCAGAACATAATTTTTCTCCTGGTCTTGCTCACTGTAGAAAGAACCATTAAGCCATTTACATTACAAGTGGTGGCTCCTGCTCCCGTTAGGTAATATAATATGCTAAATGAACTTGCTGCTATGCTATATAGTGCTCTATTACAGACTTTCAACATTAATTGGTTTGGGGTCATTGGCCATCTCAGTTAATGTGAGGAATCCACTGTTCTTTAAGTAAAATGCTCGATAGCATCTCCTATTGAAATGGGCCAGATTCAAACGGTATGCATCATTATGCATGTGCCAAGGTACAAGTGTATGGGTTTTCCTGCATTTGTATTTAGGGTAAGAAAGCAGAGTCCATTTTTTTTTTTTAAGTTTAAATAAAGTGTCTACTGGTGCTAGTTTGTTCCAAAGTTGTCCAAAGTTGTTTAAAAGTCTGAGGAAATGTAGCCTGAGGATAATACAACAATCTGTAAGCCTCATGGTGATTTAACCCTTCTGGAGCTAAAGCACTAAGAAGGGAAAGCTGCCTTTCACTTCTTTGCCCCTATCTGCAGCTGCACGTAGATAACACCGCAAACAGAACCATCACTTCTACTACAACCTGGGTAATAATGTGCTCAGTTAATCTACACAACATAGAGTCATCCTCTCAAAAAGTAATTCACTTCTTTAAAAACTGGAAGGAAAATAAATATGGTGCAGTAAAATTGTTGAGTAGAGGAATCTATCTGGACATTTCACAAAACATTTCATTATGCTGACAATTCCCAGAAGTACTCTCAAGAGTGCTTTAAGCTGAGGATTACTGCACTGGAGCTGATGGACTTTTTTTGTAGCCCCTTTAAAAGGCAGTGAACCGTTTTTCTATTTTATTTAAATAATGCCCCTTAAAATGGATTTTTAGAGGTATAATAACTCCTTAAGAGTCAGTTATGCTAAACAGTTTCTCTTGATAGAAATGTTGTAAAACTCGTTAACTGCACAATTTCAGATGCCGGCTTGGTGAACACTAACTGACATGTGAATGACCAGAGTTTGTAAAATAAATTGCAATAGTTGTTGTATCACACAGCTAGCATTGCACAAGCTGGAGGCCACGAGGGGCTCCAACCTGACAGAAATTACTTCAAGATGAATGAAAAGTGCTTGTTGCTCTTTATTAGTTTTTAGAGAACAATGAAAATGTTGAATTGTTTACAGAGGGCTGATTAAATGTGGTCAGTGGGGCCATGTCCCTACTGCTAACTGTTGGCCTCCTTCTCTCACTGACCCCCCAACCTACCCACTCACACACCACCTACTCCAAGCACCCAACCCCCACCCTTAGCTCCCTGCCACATGCATCTTCTTAGATGCTATTATGGCTGCACATCTGTGTGTGAAATGTGCTCATTCTGACATTCCACTGCTGCTCAGAGCTGTGCGGAGGCCTTTGTTGGGTAAAACACTATTGTCAACTCTAACAAGCAGGTCATGCAATTTGCTGGACACTGCAGCAGAGAATAGCCCAGGATGAATTGCTTTGGCCTCAAACAATGCTCAGTTCCATACTGGAATACATATGTATTTCTTTCATTGTTCAGTACTACCAAAAGTCATGACATTTTGGGGTTTTTTAAGGCTTTGATTTAAAAATATATCTACATGGTGCTAGCGTTAGACTACCACAAAATAGCCTATTTGTTATATTTACTTAGGATAACTACTGTCTTATGGCTAAAGGAAAAAGGCATGAAGTGCTTTAATTGGTCATTTGTGGTTTAAATCCCATTTACATTTTACCAGAAAGCACAGTGAAAGGAAAGGCACTAGCTACCACTTTAGCTGACTGTTTGGTGTACTTAAAGGGGTGGTCAAAACCAGGGCATTTAGGAGGATGTTGTGGAGAATGATTCTCACTTTATATTTCCACAAAGTAAACAGCCTTTGATGGAAAGAAATATGAGAACTCATTAATAAGCACATGCCAAACAGGAAGAAAACAGTCCTTTTACCAGACCAAGCTAAATGAATCAGATCCAGAAGATGTTTGGATACACTAAAAAATTAAGGAAAAGCAAATCACTGCCACCCGACTCAACAAACAGCCTTCCATGGCCCATCTCCTTCCTCACTCCTAACCTCACCCTTACACGCACACGTGTGCACATACACGTCAGGGAAATAAGCGGTAACGAGGAGCAGTTCAAATGCTATTTGTGGCATTCTGACAAAATACATAGTACACACCCCTAATGTGCAAGCAGGATTCTCTTTCCCTCTGTGCAGAATACACATTCTGAGCCTATTATGTGTATAAACAATGGCATATGTAATTACCTTACTAGGGTGGCAATTATTCCTCAGAATCAACAACCAGAGTTAAAGCATGTTCCCCCAGAAGACATTTGGGGATCAATTCTGGGTCAATTACGTCAGGCTTTGATTTATCACATGGTGTCAGGCTGTGTTAAGAAAAAAAGAAAGTTTTTCAAAAAAAGGCATTATGAGATAAAGGCTAAAGGTTTGACTCAGATTGGTTTGTTTCCAACTTTGCTTTCTCCCAATTGCTCTGCCCTCCCCCATTCTCAAAACAACTGTGATTTGCTGGGTTTTATCTGTTAGACAGTTTGCTGTTTGTGATACTAAATGAAATGAATCTGGACTACGTCCAGATTTGATCTGCCCCCACACCACCAGGCACTGGGAATTTCTCCTGGGATGCAGCAGAGGGGAGAGGTTAATAGTTCAGGCTTTAGAATCTAAGAGATCTGGATTTAGATCCCCATGACTTAAGCAAGATATATTCATATCTCTGCAGTAGATAATACCTACTTCAAATGGTTGCTGTAAGGTTTAAATGAGATGATTAAGTGAGAGAACATGTGTGAAAACACTTCGCTCAGTGCCTGGCATGTCGTGATACCCAGTGAGTAGAGTGCTTGCTCTTTTACTAGGGTACAAGCCAGAGGAGGGGAAGGACAACAGCCACTCCAAAGGCCCACCCATCTTGAGCTGGCCAAGGGCCTGAGCAAGCAGAGTGGATGTTAGTACAATTCACAGGGTTGAACTGATGAATCCAAGACATTCATGAAGAAGTCCAGTGGACTAGACCATATATGAAGAATCCAGTTGATTTTAGACTTATTCTAACTAGATTGACTGTAAAGTACAAACCAATGAAGGTGCTACTCTGTTAGCAAGACCCCTCTGTCTTTTTATAGAGCTTTAAGAACCACAGAAAAAAAGCTACTTTACACTTTTAAGCACCAAATCTTTACTCAACATGTACTTACTATGCACCAGGTACTGTGCTAGGTTCCAGGAACACAGACATGGTCCCTCCAAAAAATTTCCCAGAATAGAAAATAAATATCTACAATTTCATACAATATAGTTTTGTAACTTGGATTAACAAACATCCAATATCACCATCAGGAGTTTGGGGGCTGGACAATTCTTCCTCCTAAGGATGAATCATATAACTAAAGTTATGGGTCAAATTAGAACTATTCCTTACTGAAGAGCAAATAAAAGTTTTTGGAAATTAAGTAAAAAAGGAAGGTATGAGAATTCTCATCAAACTCTTTAGGGAGCAATGTAATTTCCTATTCAAAGAACACTTTAAATCTATTTTCTATGGAGCATCATTGTTTTTTTCAGTAAGAGGGAAACAGCACTCACATGATTCATTTCTCAAATGGCACATAGTGCTATTGGCAGTATGTATTGGCAGCTTAATTAAGAAGTCTGTTGATAATGATTTTTTTTTAAAAAGCTGGCACATTTTCAATTCAGATGGACACTGCTGAAGACAAAGACGTGTCTATTATTGGTTCGTACATACTAAAATGTGTTACATACATAAAATGTCAAGTGTCTACAGTCATATTACTGTCTTAACATTGGAAAAATCATGACTTATTCCCAGATCAGAAATAAGTATTTGAAAAAACTACACATTAATTTTGGAATATAGAGGATAACACAATGAATACTAAAACAGCCAAATTTTCCTACAGAGTCATTGCCTAGGTCTGTTTTGCTCCTTCCCTGTCCTATCTTGGGTCCATGAGCTTTCCCAAATTTGAGCCAAATCTTCCCCTTCCTCAAGCCAATTACTTACTCAGAATGTCAGGCCCCTGGGGCACAGATGGTAGAGGTCTACAAAGACAACAGGCGTAATTCACCTACCCACTCTGCAAGAAATGTACAAACACAATATACTTTTCCAACTGATAATCTACACCTGACAGTTAAAAAAAAGAATTTAATTCAATTAACTCCAACTATAATGTGTTAGTATCTCTAACATCTACTAAATATTTATAAAATCAATGAAATAAATCCTACCTATTGAAAGTCCAAAAAAATGGAAGATGTCCTGAGTTGCCCACATTGACTGTTTTGTTTGTTTTCTGTTTTATTAAAGGGATTTAAAATACTTGCAGAATACACTTTTCCATTCATTTGTTTTCTATCTTAGGGACACACTTAATTAAGAGCCAAAAGTAATCATAAATCCATTGAAGGCAGGAAACACATCTTTCCTGTCTCCCTCATCTTCTCTCCCCTACTTTGTGCAGTGATTCACACATAGTAAGTACTCAGTTAAGCTGAAAAGACAATGCATGTTTCAATTCACATTAATTTGGAGGGGTTGCATTGATTTAAGGAACAGCTGAGACAAAAAGGATAGGTTCAATCTTTCCTGATTTATGACTAGTGAGGCACACTGTCTTGAAAACTTGGCTGAAGCTTGTGTAACACTTGCATCATTAACTGCGGGCCACTGTGGCATTCTTAATGTCTTGATTTGTTTGCATTTTTGCTGATGGTAACAAGATGATCCTCCAACGGCTGTCTTTCCAATAAGAAAATGTGAAAGGTGATGTGAAGCAGGTATTCAGTGAAGCAGGTATTCAGTCTACCCCTGTCCTACAGACAGTACATCTGTGAACAAAATGGAAACAAATGATTAATCCAAGGCTTTCTAAGAGCAACTCTTCAGAAGTACAACAGTTGGTCTTTTGCTGATCACTAAAATTATATAGCTCAAACTTTCATAAATGCAACCAAGACCTTTTATGGTGATAATGCTGTTTGAAGTTATCTTTCCTTACCTTAAATTATGACTTTAAAATCCATGCCATCCCAGGTGCAGATCCAAGCCTAATAAAATCAGAAACACCACATATCTATACATTTTGAAAACAAAATGTCCCTATCCAAGTAAGGAATCTGTGTTTTCTTCCCTTGCCTCCATAAACAGGAATAAACCCCTCAGAGGTTCCAAGCCCTATTCCTTCATAAACAGTAAATTTTGGTCCATGCCTGTGTCCCATCAAGTGGCACCAAAGCAGATGGCTGGGAAACAACAGCTGCAGACAGCGCCCTGCTGTGAAGCAACCTGCCTGAGAAGGAACACTCTATTCAGCAAAGACTCTGCATTAACCAGGTAAGTAAAAGAGGTAAGTATAAACACTTCAAACATCACCTCTAGCAGCCAAGGCCCCATGAGAGCAACACAGACAGACACAGGTGAACCCCACCATAGACTTTTCAGTCATACCCAGGCACATGTATGTTACTAACACTCTCTTAGAACAGGAAAGAAAACCATCTTTGCAAGAAACATTCCTATTTATTTTCACACGCTCAAGGGCCATTTCTCTCTGAGATGTTCCACAGCAGACCCACTGAAGTTGAGACATAGAGCCAACAAATACACAAGTAAGCTTAGTCTTAACACATTTATTCACTAATTTACTTCACTGGGGTTTTTTAAAAACAGGCCAAAAGTGGTGTACTTAAAATATCCTTCAGCTCGTGAACAAAAGTGTCATACTACATGACCATTTAAAATCAGCCTGGAATCATGTTAGGTTTTTCCTTCTCTATCCATTATATTAAACTTGTCACTGAAACCTCTTCTTAATTTGATGTGTCTTTTGCAGTGCCCTTTTCTTCTGAAGTCTAAATTCACCCTACCCTTGTCAAGACCTCTTCTCCTCAGCCTGGAATATGACAGGCTCCTAGCTCTGCCTCCATTTTCTCTGCTGCAGTCTCAATTCCTTCCAAGTGACGTGACCTCCATTGAGCCTCCACTGCAGCCATTCGCTCCACGATCTGTCTCAGCTAAGTCCCCTGAAGTCTCTATTAAAGAGGCTCAGCCCAGCTGTGACCTTCAACCCATCCTCATCATGAAGGAAAAAGAGAAGCAACCTCAGCCCACCAGATAACAGGAACAGTATTCCATCCTTGGCCACAAGTGCACTGAATTGCACTGAGCTTACTCTACATGGCTTCATCATTTGTCCATTTCCCTGCTAACTCCAGACATGTTGGCCTAATCTTCGGAGATGGCTTTTGCCCTGACTAGCTTACCTTTTTCCTTCCATACTTTGTGCCCTGCCCTGAATTTAAATCTACTTGACTAGGACCATGATACTACACTTCCCCAGATTTTATTCCAGAACTCCCGCTGCTAGCTGGGATCCAGTTTCTATTAGATTGCCCACTGCCATGACACCACCATTCCTGACTCAATCTCACCTGCTGTCTACATTCTAGTTAACAAAGTATCCTGCTAAATCGAATCTCCTCGGTTTCTTTCCTGAACCAGCTCCAAGATCATCATTTACTCTTGTTCATGAGGACTGGACTGCTGGCTAACCCTAATGTAGCAAGGCTTCAGTCCCTGATAAACCTACTCTTGACTTCTCTTGTTTCCTGGTAACCTAAGTTGCTGAGATCCTGATTAGGAACCCTGTCTTCTCAGTGTACACAAATTCTATTTAAGAGGCTAGTTTTCATAATATCTACAATGTCTTTATATTTATTGATTCATTCAATTAATCAGTAATTTACTAATTTATCCTCCTTTCTTTCCATAAAAACTTAAAAGGGGTTAACATTAACTTAGTTTAAAAACAAATCTTACCTGACCACCTATAGCTTAACCCCTGTCTGAATTTTGAAGCATCTTACTTTAATATTCTACTTCGTTCCCTGGTCTCCAAAATGAAGTCTCTGCTGCAGGCACACAGGTTCAGTGACCCCTAAGCTCATTATGTATCTTTGTTAACCCCATCTTTTCTGCCTTCTTAATTAGTTCCTTTCATCCTTTGGCATCTCACTTGTGACATGATCTAAAAAGCCTTCCCCAAGAAACAATCCACATTGACTTATCCCTTATCTGGATTCTTCTGGAATAACCAATACCACACAGTTCAAGTACTTGGTTTTCACTAAATTTTTTATATCCATTAGCTCCCATACAATTAATTCTTTGAAAAGTAGGATAAAGGCCATGTCCTATATTTGTTATGGTGCCCTCAAAGTACTTGATGTTGACCTCTAGAAGGAAAGCAAAGTTCCACTTCCACCCTTTCTCCACCCTTACTCCACTCCCCAGCCTCATCCCCATGGAGGAAAAGAGGCAAGGGACTGAATCAAATTACTGGACTCAAGCAAGCCTCGTAGTAGGGGGTGAAGCTTTAGGTATAAGCAGAAAAAAGTTGAAGTTGCAACTTCTGTAGGCTGTGGCCTCTCTGGAGTTCATCTCTTGGGATTCTCACTCTCTTTAGATTGCTTCCCTCTACTTCCACATGGCCAATGAGGCAAAACGGGTCTAGAACTGCCTATCACTTGGGAGATGCTCCCCAGTAGCACTTCCTCCAGATAAGGCCTAGGGAGACTAATTGGACCAGCTCTAACTTAATTTTTATCTTTCATTTTTTGTTTTTCTCTTAGCCACTGGTAAAGTAGGACCTAAGGAGTTGAACCCAGGAGAAAGGACCATGGAGTTCTCTCTGTGTGTAAGACACAATATTTCCAAGCAGCTCCATATGGACAGCGAGTTCATCAGAGACCACATTAGGTTTGGGAATTGGGCGGGTTGGAGGGACTCTTGTGAAATTTTGAATTAGTAATCGCAGATGACCAGAGTCCACTGTAAAAATCATGTAATATTCAAAATGTCTCACATAATATATTTAAGTATATCATACATGCACCGTATCATGCATACACACACACACACACACACACACACATAACTTTGATATACTACTTGAAAAGAAATGGATAATGGATATCCCAAAGTCATGAGATCATTTGTTACTCATGTAAGTCTGTGGTAAAAATTTCATTTTGAAACAATGTCTGTAAGTAGCATATGAGGCAGAGAATGTCAACTGTCCCCTAATATCCATTCTTTCCTTTTACATTCATTACTAGAATCCCTGAATTTTGAGAAGTACATGGCCACAAAATATATTTTCAGACCTTACTGACAGATAAGTATAACTAATAGGATGTGAGTAGAAGTTAGAAGTGCAACATCTAGGAAATGCCTTTAAAAAGAATGATTATGGAGCACCTGGGTGGCTTAGTTGGCTAAATGTCCAACCGTTGGTTTCAGCTCAGGTCATGATCTCATCATTCATGAGTTCAAACCCCACATCAGGCTCTCTCCCCAACTCTCTCTGCCTCTTCCTCGCTCGCTCTGTCTCTCTCAAAATAAATAAATAAACTTAAAAAATTTTTAAAGAATTATCATGCATTTTCAGACATGTGAATGAAGCCAACACCCAGGGATAATGAGTAGTAAGATAGAAGTTTATTTCTCCCTTATTTGACATTATAAGTAGTCCAAAGCTGATATGGCATCTCTGCCATGCCAGAGAGCTCTTTCTAGCTTGTTTAAGCCACTGTATTCTGGAGTCTCTCAACCAAAGCATAAGTTAGGCTGCTGTAGCAAATACAGCACTGTAATTCTAGCTCTGCCACTATCAAAACATGGACAAATAATTTACATCTTATGAACTTGTTTGTGTCTATACCTACTTCACAGGTTGTTAACAACATGAGACTGTGTCTTTTTTTTTTCTTAGCTTCCCATTATAGCTCCAGTTTCTAGCACTGTGTCTGCAAATAGTAAGAATCCAATAAAAATTAATTATTATTGCTGTTTTTATTGATATGCCAAATCTAGACACATAATGCCATACCTTAACAATGAACCATTAGGTACTTCCAGTAAAGATCGAATAATGGAACTAATCAACATGGTGTACATTAGAGTGATCACTTTTTCTGACCCAAATCTTAATAAACATGGTCTTACAGAAGGTTTTTTCTGACTTCTGAATTTACTTTTATGAAAGTTCTTATATGTTAAACCATTGGTTGTCAACTTAATGAACTGGCTTTACTTTTAAAAATTATCTGCTTAAATTGGGCATTCCTGGAAATTCAAAGGCACAGAGCCCTAGCATTATTGATTCTAATTTTTATTATAAGGTTCCATTGTGCATGTATATGATGTGGGGGGGGGGGGAAGCCTGATTTTTATAACATGTTTATGGTTGTGAATTTGTATTTCAGTATTTCAGAATCTGAAGAAAAAGCATTCTTCTGTTTTCCCAAAGAAAGATGGGCACTTCTCGCTTCTGCAAAAATAGCATGGACAAGAGAGTTTTCAGTAAAACACTTTTTTTTTTCTATTGAAGAGCACTTAATAAACACACACACACCTAGCTGCTTTCATTTCACCATGAGTGCCACCCATTTGCCAGTCATCGAAGTAATTCAGTCTGATCTGTTGAGGTGATGGATTCTGATAAACTGCGTAAGCCTGTCATTAAGGGGAGGATAGATTACAGTCTCTATGCAGGACATTATAGTACTTACATTTCTCATCCATACAACCTATGAAACATACAAGGAAAGCAAGATGAAAATTAAACTGAACATGGACTTAACTGCTTCTGTCTCCAATGAATGACAGGAGCTGGTGACCAGTCCATACTCTCTACTGCACATATACACACACACACAGAGTTCTACTTCTTTCTAATATAAAGACCTTTCATAAAGGACACAAAGATTATGCACAAAATTGACTATTCTGTAATTTAAGTCTAAGCTTCCACTTCTAAAATATTATT